GGGGGGGGGTGCTCTTACAACTCTTGTTACAAACCATGCATCAATTGTATCAGACATATTTGTACATATATTCCATCGTTCTTTTCTAGACATTTACTTTCCCTTGAGCCTTTGGGATCAGCTCCTCCTTTTTGCCCTCCCTTTTCCCCCCTCCCCAACCCTCGTGGCCCCCTGATAAGATTGTAGATTGTAAATTCTCAAATCTCACTTTGACCACTGTCTCCCTTCTCTGGTTTCTGCTGTTCTTCCCCTAACTGAGGGTGTGTGATTATGTGCTATTCACTTCGATCAGTGCCCCCTCCCTCCTCACCTCGTCACACCTCCCCCTGCCCTTTCGGTGTCTCTGTTCCCATTCCTGGTCCTGGGGTCCATGTGCTGTGAGTTTTACTCTTTCCTATACCTATGTCCATGCTCCTGTCTAGATTGGAAAATGGCACTGAGGTCGTGGTGGGGGGATAATTTTTAAGAAACCAATTGCTCACTGAGAGTTTAAGTTGACATATATATGAATCATCCAAATAACACTTGGCATAATTTTTGACAACAGCAAATTACTTGAGTGTCCACATGTCAGAATAAGCCAGAGGAAAATGTGCCTCCTTTTTGCAGCTCAATTTTAAGTTAGATTAGACCAGCGAAGAAAAGATATCTGGCTACTGCTGCCTAAAGGCCAACCGAGTTAAATCAATATTTAATAAGAGCTTCAGAACCTCTCATGATTCACTTTGTCTTTTTGTACTTAATTTTTCCCTCTTGAGAGCATTTGGAGGAAAACATCCATATCCTGTTCTTCAAAGAATGAAAGAAGACTGGGTTATTTATTTATCTTGCCTCTTACCTCCTTGGCTTGGCTATCATCATGATCAACCCCCAATAATAATTGTTAAATGTGTCTGTCTTTCAGCCACAAGTATATGGTTATGATGATTTGCAGATGCTTCAGACAAGATTTCCTTTGGTGAGTATGTGGGATAAAGCTTGAAAATTAACATTGAGGGTTACCTCGCATGTTCAGTTAATAAAGCATGGGCGTTGCTCTTTCCCAGGCCTTCCCTTCGTATACACAATTTGACTTTACCCTGCTAAGACTGGATTATTTTGAATTATTTATTCCGACCATGTTTTAAGTAATAGAAGACATTTTAAATTGACTGAGTGTGTGTGTGTGTGTGTGTGTGTGTGTGTGTGTGTGTGTGTGTTGAGGTAATAATAATTTTCATATAATTTATGGGATATGTATGTCAGGGGGAGGGGCCTCTGGACATATCTTTATGGAAGCAGGCAGCCTTTTTCTCTCTTGAGTGCCTGGTGGGTTTGAACTGCTGGCTTTGCAGCTAGCAGCCCAGCGCTTAATCCACAGTGCTACCAGGGGTGTGCTAACCGTGGGCTGACAGCTTCCCATCAATTCCAGAGGTGTAAAATGCAGGTGGGTAGTATATGTCCCCCGAGTCACAAAAGGAAGAAGATGGAATAAATTGGGCCAAGGGTTGGTACTTTTTAGTAAGCACATTTTAACCTGCTATGTAGCTCAATTGAGTACAATAGAATTAAGAACAATCGCTTTTCTCCGTGAACTTCAGTTTGACTTAGACAAGTAGGGATGTTGTTTAGAGGATTGAGGATGCTGATGTGCGTGCGCTCAAGTGGGCAGACTCGTAGACCTTGCTTAACAGTGCTCATAGCCAGGCGAGGGGGACAGTTGTGTGCAAGAGTGCTGTGAATTTAAGCCAGCTCTAGCCACTGATTAAACATCAGTGGTTGGATAAATTGTAGTACTCTTAACATTCTGCTTCCTTTATGGAGTTTAGTATGGTGGAGAATGAGTAACATTGAATCTCTATTCTTTTGTTATTCCCTTGTAGGATTACTACAGCATCCCATTCCCCACACCCACCACTCCGCTGACTGGGAGGGATGGTAGCCTGGCCAGCAACCCTTATTCTGGTAGGAGACTGTAATGAGGCTGAACAAAGGCAGTTGTATGTATTGGGATTATTGACAGAAACCTGAGTGGTGCCATAAAGG